CATTCGGTATTCAATGACTGAACAGTTAATGCAATTTCTGTTGAAATTTATTAGATCTTTTGCTTAAAACAGCTTTTCAGGAAATTAGACTTCTCATGTCCTCTGTTATAGCTCTTTCTAATAATATTAGGAGTTTCTTCCAAAATCTTTTGTTTAAAGTGGTAGAAAAAGTTAACACCTAAGCTCAGGCCAAATGGGATGAAGTTGTTGCTATCATCTGTAATTTTTGCTTTGGTTTCTGCAATGAGGTGTTCCTTTCAAACTGGTTGGCTTCTCCTACACCAGAAAAAAAGTAACTAAAATTGACTCAAAAGATATCAATATATTGTAAGTAATTTTTAATACTAATATTTTTGTGAGATCTAAAAGGAATAATTTTTAATATTAATATATTTGAGGGATTTAGAAGCAACAATTTTTAATATTAATATATTTGAGGGATTTAATAGTGATGTAATGGGATAACCTGTCACCCTCATGACTGACTACACTATAGGTAGTAACTAACTATAAGTATCTGCAGGCAATGGACTACAGAGTCTAGCTGAAATCTTTTTCGACTGCACTGTCAAACTCTTTGCCTACGAGGCAGACGAGGCTATGCCGAAGGAAAGAGTCTCATCTGGGGTGGTAGACAGCTACCTGACTCCATTTTTTATGGGGTCTACAGGGAATTTTTACCCAAGCCTACAGGCTCATATACCCCACGTTTAATTCGGCCTTGTGCAAATATCCTGGCTGGAATATTTTCCAGCTGTGCTGGTTGAACTCTCTGCTTTCAGGCAGAGAGGAACTTGAACGAGGCTATGCTGAAGGGCAGAGTCTCATTTGGGGAGGTAGACAGACCCAATCCCTTTTATGCAGGTGTCTATGGGGATTTTTTGGCCAAACCTACAGGCTTGGGAACCCCACATTCAATTCAGCCTTGTGTCACATTTGACTGTATGAGGCAGTTGCTAGATACTCTAGCTGGAATCTTTTTCAGCTGTGCTAGTCAAACTCTCTGCCTCTGAGCAGAGAGGATACCCAGACAAGATTATGTCAAAGGGCAGAGTCTCATCTCAGGAATCAGCTACCTGACCCCATTTTACTATGGGGAATTTTTGGTTGAGCCTACAGGCTCAGATACCCCACATTAAACTCAGCCCTGTGCCACATCTGATCACATGAGGAGGTTAGTTAATACACTAGCTGGGATCTATTGAGTATGACTCAGACTTATGCTAGAACTACCGACCTTCTAATAGTAGCACTCACTACTGGATTGACTTGCAACAACCTTGTGTATAACTGTTACCTTTATTCTTATTGTATTGGTTTTTACAATAAACCTTTACTTATTTTATCCACTGTGTTTTTCAAGTATATATTCCTATTGACACAGAATATAACAAATAGCAATAATATTTGATACTAATATATTTGAAGTATTTAGAAGCAATAATTATAAATACTAATATTTTGGGAAGATTTAGAAGCAATACTTTTAATAATAATATTTTTCTGAGATTTAGAAGCAATAATTTTTAATATTAATATATTTGTGACATTTAGAACCAAGAGGTGAATATATTTAGGCTTTTTTCTTTCCTTTCTTGTTTACTAAATGCCTGAAAAACAATTAAGAACAATCAAGGTAAACTTCATATCTATTGAAATATATTCAATAGCAAATACATTCTTTTATATAAATGAATCATAAATAGTTTTATGAAGACATGCATGAAATAAAGAACATTTTTGTACAGTTTTAAAAATACTTCATCTTTGCATTAAAATAGACAAGTACAAAAGTCTGTGACAGGAAGACAGGAAAATTATGTCCAAAATTAAAAAGATATAAACAATATTTAAAATTTATAATCACCAAAATCCCAATATCCTTTAAGGCATATTCAATTTCCAAAAAATACGATAAAGAAATTCAATCCAGGAAGCATACAATTTAGCCAGCAATGTGGAAAATAATAATCATCATCACCTTATTATTATTAGTAGTAGTAAATATTGACAAGATGAAAATGTTTTGGAAGATAAAAAGTAATTACATTAAAAAAAATGTTTCCTTTGCAGACCAAATCAATATAAAGATTAAAATTATTAATAAAAAGTTAATATGAAATTAATATAGATAGATAAAAATAGGTAAAATTGCCATTTGATATATTAATATCAAGGTCTTATTACTGGCATGCCATGATGATTGATACAAAAGAGAGTGGATGACTGAACACTTAGATAAACCACTCCTACATAACATTCAGTAATAATTGCAAAATGTTGTTACACTCACTGTCAAAGTTGACAATGTTGAGTATTAATAATTATAATAATGTCATTTTATTATTTATTAATATTATTAATAATAATATTAATGTAAATAAATTTTAAAAGCAAAAGAACCAAAATAGTTTTTCTTGTTTAAAAGTTGAGATGTGATGGGCATGAGTAATGAAAGGGGTCTCTTTTTATGAATGATGAGTTTTTCTTTTTAGTTGAGTGAGACTTTAAGATGAACAAATGCAGAATGTTTACAAATTCTTGGTCATCTTCTGCTTTCAATTCTGATCTCCAGAATTGTAAGCAATGCTTATTATCCACCAATCATAATACCAATAGTAAGCTGTCCTAATTGTCCATCAATCATGATTTCCAGAATTGTATGCAATCCTTATTATCCAGCAATCATGATTTCCAGAACTTTAAGCAATCCTTATTATTCACCAATCATGTTTTCCAGAATTTTAAGCAATCTTTATTATTCACCAATCATCAGTTGAGTCCAGTTATTCTTTTTGGTTCAAAGATCAGAAACAAAATGAACTGTTCAGATTATTTATCAATATGGTATAAATATTTTTCTGCATGCTGCAAACTTCTTGGAAGAACATTTAAAATATTTCTATCATATTGAAAATCTGAAATTAGGTCTAATTTGAGATACGAATAGAGTATATGTTTCATTATTTTTGCTATAGTAATTAGTTAAACAGGAAAAGTTCTTGGTCCAACCAAAAAGGGACCCAAAAGAAATTCTGATTTTTAGTTATTTGAACTTTTCAGCACACCTATATAATTATTGATATTTACTAAGCTTGGTGTATTAAAATACATGACCAAATAAAAACAAATGGACTTGTGTTGTAACAAACTTATAAGTCGATAGCCCTTGTCTGACTAAAAAATCAACATTCAAATTTTTTTTTTAACTAAGCTCAAATAGCATATGTCAACTACCATATAAATCTTGAGAAAAGTAAGCTCCAAAGCCTTCATATAAAAATACTGACCCGAACTTGATCAGTTTCCATAAATGCTTCATAATTTGATCTGATTAGATCTTAGAAATCATCGTGAATGTCTTTTTGAGAGTTTGATTGTTTCTGCGACATTTGCAATAATTAGTTTCAAATAAGAAGTTTTAGATGCACAGCAGTCAACATCAAGAGTCTTTAAGAGCCTGTTCCAACCAGTCAGACTCAACAGCTGCAGTTGAATCATCACTATTTTCCTCCTCTTCTGCTTGCAACAAACGCTGATATTTAACAGGTGTTTGCCTTGGCATGTACTTGTCAATAAAGAAAAAGATAATGGACCACACAAAACAGAACACCGCAACGCTACGGAAAAGCATCGACAAATTCCAGTAATCAACAATATAACCTGAGACAAGACTGCCTACAGAGAAACCAATTCCAAAGTAAGCAGAAGATAAGATATTCCGAATACTTCGGTCAATCTCAGGATTGACATTGAAGACTGGATTGCTAAATACAGCATACCACAAAGCAGTGTGAGTGAAGGCATGCAAAAGCTCCAATGGCAAGATGAACCATGAAGAAAAAACAAACGTGTAGACAAAAACACGAATGCTGAACAATAACATTGACAATGTAATCATGGCCCTTGTGCCCAGGCGTTTTATAATATACTCGCCATAAAGCAAGATAGGGAATTCTGAAAATGTCCCCACCATTATACACAGCCCCATCACACTCTCATCACCCCCAAGATCTTCAATAAGCCAGAACAAAAAATTGCTGATTGTTGAATAGGCAGCTCCCATAAAGAATACTGTTGTCATGTAAACAAATCCATTACAACCAAAACAAGTGATCTCTACTCCTTTTTTCAATTTACTTGAGGGAAGCATCTTTGAGCTTAATGGCATCGGAAGCATAAGAGTCAAAAGAAGAGAAAATCCAAGAAATATAATGAAGGCAAAACAGTGTATAAGTATGTGATTCATGTGGAATGGTAAAAGGCATTTTGTGTTGTCTACAAGAAATCCAATCAGGGTTGGAACCAAGAAGAAAGAAAAAGAGGTCCACATTCTGTGTTTGCCATATTTTTCTAGTCGATCAATACAATCTAAGAGGTCATACCAACTGTCATCTGCCAGTTTTTCCGAAGCAGAACCTATAGGCTCTCCAATTAAGATTATTAAAAAGATCACTAGGAATACACGAGAATTCTCTTTTGTTATAATGCTTACCATCCAGGTTTTAAATTTGAGCCACCAAATGCGGAAGTCCCAAGAACTGTTACTAAACAATGATGAAAAAGAAAGGTGTGGAGTTTGGCTTGTTGTATTGGCAGTGATGACAGATCGTTTCTGTTGCCTTTTTTCACTGCTCATATTTTGCATTGCTTGAGCATGCTCATTAGGTAAAGAACTGTTTGTATTTCCGGATGCTACACTTACTGGTTGAAGAACATTCATTGTTGAAATACTTGTCGGATATTTTGTGGCTATGGAAGGAGTGGTTACAAGAGAAACATTTTTTTGCTTTGTGACCATATTGCTTGACTTTCCAGGGGTTGCTGTAACTATGACTGAATTATTTAATAGAGTGGAATACAGTTTATAATTAGGGGAATAATTTGTGTTCTTCTGTGGCCATGGGGTGGATGTAGAGTTAAGATATGTGTTCAGTGTGCTTGATGTGGGTCCTGGTGTGTTTTTATGTGCCAGTGTTGCACAGTTAGCTTGCAAATTGTCATCTATTGATGCTGACACAAACCACACTGATATGTTTGTAGCCAACATCATTGAGAGAGAAAGAAAGAGGTAGAAACGTCTTCTCTGGAGCCTGATGGCCTGTTTTGCCCAGACTGATGCCCACAGAAATGCTGAGAGCATCTTTGCAGCCATCAGATAGCCAACTTGAATAGCAGATAACCCAAGATGACGGTAGAAGAGGGTGAGGAATGGAAACAGAGATGCCTTTGCTGCAGCAAAGAACAAATGGTAAATATTGCAGAACAAGATCGCACGGTTGATGTTGATGGAATTTGGGTTAATCATGATTGTCACGTTGCTTCTCTAATCATAAAGCTTCAATGGAGATCTGGCTACAAGCGGCAGGTGTGTAATGAGGCATGCACCATCACATTGTCTGTGGAAACAAGAAAGGAAAATAATGTTATTATGTAATGACAAGAAATAAGTAGAAAAACTTGGAAAACAAGTGTAGCACTTTATAAAAAGAAAACATTAAAAATTACAAATTACTTGAACTATACAGTGAAATTCTTTTTAAGAAATAAACAAATTTAGGGTGATGAAAAGCAAAGCAATAATTTAACCAAAAATCTGTTTTGTTAAGTATCATCTGGTGACAAACTGGACTGGGTTGTGCTTTTAAAAATGTTTATTTATGATAGAAATAATAAACAATTATTCTGTAATATAAAACAGACTTTATATATTCAACAGTCATTCAGCCTGATCTACTCTTCTTAGTAATGAAATATTCATTTTTTAAAAGGAGGTATTACTCAACACCACTAAGCCTCAGGTTACCAAAGCCATGGAGTATCTCTCTATTAAGGAAAGAGACGAATATTGCATTTTTATTTATTTTATTTCAGGTTAACCCTCTGTGTATATTTGTATTTTAATGATTTAAAAAACAGAATTCTGTCTTACATTCAAAAATAAAGTTAATTGTAAAAATAAAAATCCTTGATTAGTTATGTAGAAAATATAACCAATGTAATTACAAGTTTACTTAAATACATCTGTCATTTTCTGACAGTACTTTTCTTTTTATGTGCCATGTCCTTTCAGGATGTAGGCGATCATGGCCCTCCAATTTCCTCTATCCCTTGTGGCTCTCAACAGGTTTTGTGTTTCTAACAACTCCTAGACCACACTCCGCCATCCACCTGCCCAAGCCTGCCACATATGTCATGTGTTGCTTTCCTCTGTCTCTTTTTCCCCCTATTTGTCCTGTGAGTATGAGATTCTCCAGGACCTCCTTTCTCATCACATATCCCAGACATTTTATCTGCCTCTTCCTTATGTTAAGCATAAGCTTCCTCATTGTTTTCTGACAGTACAATGTTAATAATGCTATAAATAATGAGCGATTGATGCTGATGATATTATTATCATTTCCTTTGATTTCTGGTGTATACTCATCTCTTTTTGGGTCCCAACCAGAGACCTAGGATCAAAGATGATATCACAACATTTTCAACAGCATTTTTTAAGTAAAAAAACAAAAAAAAACTAAGATCATACACATTTTACATAGCTAAATCCCTTCGTAAGGTGTGGGCTGTACTTGTCAAAAGGAATTATGTATTCCAAAAGAAGTTCCCCAAAAAGGAATTATTTATTTCCAAAGGAATTCCTCCTTCCAAAGGAATTATTTATTTGAAAAAAAAAAAATTCTTCATTCCAAAAAGAATTATTTCAAAAGGAATTCTTCACTCAACAAATAATTATTCATTCCAAATTGTTGGAACCTGAAGAAACACCACAAAGAGCAATCAGTTCATGGAACAATTCTTTGAAACAGGAAAAAAATATTTTTTCTGGACATGGAAGTCAACTGATAATTTTTCTTTATTTCAATAGCCACCTTTAACTTACAAATGTGACACAATGAATAATCTTGGAGGTAAAATGGGAAATTCTTCCATATATGACTGCTGAAAAGTTCTTGGTTCAATCCACTTCCCAAAATCTGACCAAATGACCCAACATCTGAATTTATTTCTAGGATCATTTCTTGGTCAGGTCAAGAACTTTTCAGCATCCTTGCTTATATCCTCCACACCTGTCACCTTAAGACTGATTCTTGTTACATTCCTTGTCTACTCAGAAGTTGAAAAACCTTCAAGATATTGGAAAATTCCTTGTAGTATTGAAATTGTTCTTTTATAATGAAATGCACAATTTACCTCAAAGATGCCATAAGGTCATTGAAAATCAGTGAAAATACTTTGATGAGCAAATAATGATGTTATGACATTATATGAATAAATGTCCAAAAATATGAGAAACTTCTGTGTCAAACAAATAAGATTAACACTTTCACTGCTGTGAACATACTTGTATATCTTTACAAAATTTACATTGTTCGGATTGTTGTCCTCATCTTTGTTATCATGTTCACAACATTTCGGCCATTGTATGCTCTGGCCTTCTCCAGGTGATTGGAATTTCGAACCCTTTATTTTGTCCACCATAGTAGATTGTTCTAGTTCCACACGACATGCCTCTTCGAGATATCTCAGTTTCAGTTATTTCCCTTTAATTCAACTCCCCAAGTTTTTGTTTGCCTCTGCTGTGGCCAGGTATTGAACTTACAATTCTTTGGGTTAAGTCACTGGATTACTTCAGCCACTGCTTTTTATCCACTGGGCCCTGGACATATGTTTATAATCATAGTAAATGTAAACAGAATACTTCATCTCAGAAATATATATAGATGTACTTATATATCTTTACAAAATTTACATTTTCTGCTGTTGATATATATATACATACTGGGTGTAACAGCGAAATTGTTCAAATCAAGTAACAGCGTGGGATAATTGTCCATCCCACAAAATATTTCATATTTGTTCATCCCACAAAATGAGAATGGTGAATAAGTTTAAAAAAGAGGGAACAGTAAAGAGGAAAACTGAATCAGGAGTTCACAAGAGGAAGAAGAATCATCATTTCAACTTTGAGCTAAAGAGATCAATTAGAAAAGACCCAACTCAATCCATAAGACATTTCGCATATGAGAGAGGAGTTTCAGCTATGACAGTCCAAAGAGCAGTGAAAAAAACTTGAAAATGAAGTTGCACCTGAAACTTGTGAGGCACCTTGTTAATCCAGAGTAGAAAGGTTAGAAAGAGCAAGATCATCTTGAATAAGTTGGAAAATGATCCTAGAAAAAAAATATATATTTGAACTTTATTGCAATCCTTCATGAGCTTCCGATTCTTAGGTATGATTAATTAATATGAACATGTCATTTTCGTTTATGATCGATTTCATTACAATACTTCTGTTAAGCTTAGAGAGTAATTATACATTCTTATTGTTCAAAGTAGAGTCCAATAGTGTTATAAAAACCTTGGAGAATTCCAGTAAGATATCTTTAATCATTTTTAAGACACAACGGTTCAGAGCTTAATCTAACAATTGGAAAATTTTGCTTTTACACCAACTGGACAATTTTGCTGTTACACTCGTTATATATATATATATATATATATATATATATATATATATATATATATTCAAGATGTAGTTGTGTTTTTATGAAGCTTGCATTACCTGCTATTGATGTATATATATATTTTTCAAGACATAATCTTTATGAAACTTACATTGCCTGCTGCTGACATACATACAAGGGTGGGCTAAAAAGTTCATAAGCTGACTATGAAGGAGTGATGCTAGAGCTGAGAAATCTTACATGCATTAATTTCAACTCTTCTTATTAATAACTGCATTATTTCTTTCCAGGTAAACTGAAATCTGACTGCTCAAAGAAGACTTCAAAAGGAACTAGTAGCAAATTCCCTTGAAAATGGACAAAATTTGACATTGTGGTGTTATCAAGCACCTACAGAAAAAGAATTTAGCCCCAAGAACATTTATGTTGACATGATTACTACATTAGGAGATGATGCTCCAGGTTTATCAACAGTGCAACTGTGGACAGTTGAATTTAGGAGGGGAATTGAGAGTCTTGAAGATGATCCAAAGTCTGGACATCCTGTAACTGCTACCACTGAAGAAAACATTGATCATGTTCACCACATATAATTTATTTTTTTACCTGTACTCAAACAATGACAATTGATACCAGTAGAAAATATGCAACAAAGCAAGATTGTTTCAATTAAGTTGTCTCTTGAATATTGCAAAAAGAGTTTTTCAATAAATTTTTGTTAGATGAATGTAAAATTTATGTGAAAGTAAAAATGAATGTCAGTATTTTCATTATGAAAAATTTGTATTGCTAAAAAGTTTATGAGATTTAGCTTGTCAAATATTGACAGATGAAATGGTCCAATCAAAAGAAAAAATCACAAGGTGAAAAGCTTCAGTCAAAAAAGAAATATCAAATATTGACAGATGAAAATCTGTCAAAAGAAGAAATCATGTAAATGAACAGATGCAAATTATTTCAATAATTAGTGATGCATGAAACAATTTATAATTATTTCAATAATCAGTTGTGTATGAAACACTTTATGATCATTTCAGTAATCACTGATGTATGAAACATTTTATAATGATTTCATCACCAAGCAGACCCTTAACTTTCACTTATGATGGATGAGAGTACTCTCAAGGAACCTCTTTAGTCTGGGACTCAAGTGAAACTCATATATACAATCTACTGCTAAAGTTTGCTGGAAAAATGGTCAGTTTATTGTGCTGCTCGAGTAAGTATTTGACTCCTTCTGCTATACTCTATCTTTACAAAAGCCAGGTCAGACCAAAAATGAGGTGTAGCTACCATATCTGGGCTGGAGCTGTCCAGTCTTCAGGTGTCTCTTTTCATAGAATTCAAAAGCATCTATGTAGCTTTGTGTGTGATTAATTATTTTTCCACCTTACAACCACTTTCCCACAGATGAAACATTGCAAACTTCTATCCCAAGGGTGTCAAACATATAGTCCACAGGCCCACTGCAGGGTTTCATCCATCCCATGAGATGGTCTTGGAAAGTGTAAAAATTATATTATATATTTACTTACTTTTTTTAAATTAATTCAATGACTAACAACATGTTTTCTTTTTTTAGGTCAACATTTTGCTCTGTTTTACCTTACCCAAAATGTCCTTGTTAAAAAGAAGAAAAGGGATACAGAGTATGGATCATCTCAAGAAAAGTGGTCCTTTTTCTTATTTATTCATGGTGGTGAATGGGAAACCTGTGTACTTGGTGTATTCACAGCAGGTTTCAGTGCTCAAAGAATATAACATTTGGTGCCTGTATGAGACTCATCGTGCCAACATATACAATAACTTGCAAGGACAAATGAGAAGAGAAAAGGTAAATAAATACTTAGCGGATCTGAAGAAACAACAGTCAACTTTAACCCAAAGCTAATATATCAGACAAGCAGCAGTAAAAGCTAGCTACTTTGTTGCTAGAAAAATAGCATTAACATCAAAGCTGTACTGTGAGGGTAAGTTTGTGAAAACATGCATACTGAAGGCTGCAGGAATTGTATGCCCTGAGAAATGACAGACTTTTGCCAACATTAGCCTGACAAGAAACACTGTGGCAAATAAGATTTCAGATCTTTTTGCAGATTTGGACAGGCAACGGAAGCACAAAGTCAAATCATTTACTGCATTTTTGTTGCAATTGATAACAGCACAAACATTATGGATGTTGTGCAACTGACTATATTCATTTGACTGTCACCAAAGAGTTCCTGAAATTGGTTCCTAAGATGGATACCCCAACAGCACATGATATTTTTATCTCTCTTGTTTAAGCACTGGACAGGGTAGGAGTGGACTGGGCCTGTGCTGTCAGTGTGGGTACAGATGACACTCCATCAATGATTGAGAAAAAAGCAGGTGTTGTGATGCAGTTAAGAAAGAAAGTACAAACTGTAAACGGAGGACATGGTTTTGGGATATTTCACTGCATTTTGCATCAGGAGGCATCATGTTGCAAGTCATTAAAAATGAACCATATCATGGAAGTGGTTGTCCAAACTGTTAACTTCATCTGAACTAGAGGTCTGAATCACCATCAGTTTGACAACCTTCTCAGTGATATAGGCATTACTTATGGCTTGCCATATCACAGCAAGATAAGGTGGTTAAGCTGAGGTGTTGTGCTGAAGTGTTTCTTTAATCTATGAGAAAAACTGAACAGTTCATGGAGAAAAGGGCAAACCAGTCTTAGAATTTCAAGAGGAGGTAGATGTTGATTTAACCCTATCACTGTTACAGAGACAGAAGCCTTGCGTCCCCCCACCAGAGCTGAGTAAATTATGACATTGTCAAATAATAAGACAATTATTAGGTTAAGTCATAAGTAATTTCAGTTTTTAGGTAGCAATTTTAATGATGAATGTATCAACCTCACTACTAATCATACAAAGCATTTAAGAATAAATTTGGAATACATTAAAATACCTTAGAATTTTGCATTGCTACATCACTGACATAGTGTACACAGGAGATTAAAGAATATATTTCTTAATTTCACTAATGGTGGGATTGAAAGTACATTTACATCACATAATATTATAAGAGTTCAAACAAGCGAATAACACCATGGAGACATCTTGAAAAATATGTAGTGTTAAGGAGTCATATCTGACTGGCAAGTGTGAAATTGGTTTGCAAAATTTAATTCTGGAGAAATATTGAAGATGAACCTAGACTAAATCATTGATTGATTGATTTGTATGTTTAATGGCATATCAACTCCTTATGGGTCATTTAATGCTGAAATTTAATTTGCTTGGGAGTTTTAAAGTATAAATATAGGATATATATTATTCTGCTTTCACAAGTGAATACATGGTAGATGATACTCAGCTTTTGTGCATATACATGGAAGGTGGTCATTCCCACAGTCGACACTTAGATATGTTTTGCAGTGTGAAACTGCATTCCTGAATCTCTTATTGATGGTTACATAGTTGATTTGGTTTTTGTTTCTCCTCCTGGGATTCTCCATATCCATATACATCTTGGGTATTCTTGAAACCAGGTGTTGGCTACTACCTGGTCATTTGTTGTACACAATTAAACCTGTTTTTCTCAATGTTCATTAAGAGTTACTAGTCCAAATTTACCAACTATTTCACAATAATCTCTCTCTTTGCCTACTTTGGCATTCAGGTCTCCCATGACAATTGCAATTTCTTGTGATTCGCATTGAGCCTTAGCATTGTCTAGTGTACAGTAAAACTTTTCAATTTCTTCTGTATTTTGTGATGTTGGTGCATATACAACTATGATGGATATGTTGAAAGGCTTTCCTTTCAGTTTAACAACAAGAATTCTTTCAGATAGTTGACAGTATCGCAAAACACATTTCTTGTTGCCTTGGTTTAACATCAGTCCCACTCCTCTCTCATTTTTGTCTCCACCTACATATATGATCATGTCACCAATGAAATCTCCATTGTTTGCTTACTCCATTTTGCATATACCTAAAATATTAACATTTAACTAGTTCATTTCCGGCGTTATATTTTCTAACTGGCCACATTTATTTAGTGTTCTGATATTCCATGTATTGAAAATTATTTTTTGTTTGATACAAACAGTTGCTATCTTCCCTTTCCAGGTGAAGGATCAATTTCAAGGAGCTTGATTCCTTGTACACCATTTTTGCTAACAGTCACTGGATGATGGCCAGGTAACATTCATTGCACATATCTCTCCTTACCAGTCAAAGAGTTAATTCCAATAGACTTAACCTCTGTCATGCCACTCTCTTGATTTGCTAAAAGCCATCAGTTTTCTTGGGATTGAAGACAAAAACAGGTGCTGACTGAACCTTTTGTTGCATCTGATTTTTTCAACTTAAATGAATAGCTTTAAGTGGTGCTATTGGTTTCTGTGACAGAGAGACAAATAACACTGTGTAATCTATGGATGTATTTATATACCATATTCTAGTTGATGCTAAACCAAGTCTCTCAGCAGACAAGGTGGGGTAATCCCAAAAATGAATGAAATGAGATTGAAATTATCTGTAGCCATAATTGTTAGACTAACTGACTTACTATGAAGAAGATACAACAGAAAAAACAAAAAAAAATCACATTTTTAACTGATGTCTTCTTCAGCTGCTAAATTAGGAGCAACAATAATTTCAAGATTTACAAATAAAGTATTTCCATTATTCAGTCAGTTATATGCCATGCATGATACATGCTTAAGCAATCATGTATCTTTTGATACATGACTGATGAGGCAGATTTTTTTAGGTTGCCATTTCTTTCTGCGGAAGACCAGTTGCCATCCAAGGCTATAGAACCCAGTCTGTCCTGCTATTTATCCATAGCTTAGGGGAGAAGAATATCATTCATACCTTTACCAAGGGTATTAGCATGTAAGTGAATGTAATGGATTTGACTGAAATTCAAACTTGGCTCTCCAATTCCTCAATCTGAATCACTATCCATTACCCCACCATGCCTCGCCTTCCATTATTAGATTATCTATTTCATTTTGACAAGTTTCTTCATGTTTTGTTGTTTTTATCAAAGTTACTGGGTGTTCCACTTCTATCAACTGAATAATTGGTGCAATACAATCTTCCTACAGTAAATTTCTTATTTGCCTTTGTACATGAGTTTAACCTCTTTTTAATTATTTCTGAGTGTGCAACGTCTTGTAACCACCTCTAAGTAAAAATATATTTTTCCTTTGTTATGGCTAGAGAGGAAATATGTCAGAAAAGAAAGAAAGATTTTAAAATGAAAAAAATCATTTTTATTCTAATAAAGCAACATATTAAGTTTAATATAAATGTATTTTCAAACAATAGACATGTTTGGTTTTTCTTCTTTTTTATTTTGTCGGCTGCTTTTGAGAAACTATTATTTGAACAAAGTGAAAGGTTTAACAGTTTAATAATAGAGTGGGAAGAAAGAGAGAAAGTGGGGAGTGCATGTGCTGCCCGGATGAAGAGAGATTGCTGCCAGGGTGGAGAAAGAGGGAAAGGAGAAAAAGGAGGAGTGCATATCAGATTAGGAACAGAGAGAGAGAGAGAGAGAGAGAGAAAGCTTAGATAGCTGCCGGGTGTTTGGAGAAAGTGAGAGAGAGAAATGATGGGAGTGGATCTCCGATTTCTGTCAGGGTGAAAATAGAAGGAAGAGAGAGAGAGATAGAAAGTCAGAGGAGTGCATATCTTAGATTGCTTCCAGGGTGGAAAAGGAGGGAGAGAGAGAGAAAGGGGATGCATCTTAGAAAGAGGGTAGAGAAAGAGAGAAGTGTATGTCTTAGATTGCGGCCAGGATGGAGAAAGAAGGGAGAGAGAGGCTTAGATTGCTACCAAAGTGGAGGGGGAGAGAGAGAGAGAAAGAGTGAGTGTATGTCTTAGATTGATGAGAGAGTGGAGAAAGAGTGTATAGAGAGGATTTAAAATGTTTTTTCATTTATTTAATACTCTTCAGCTTTGAGAAATTTATAAACATACAATGATTGTCAATTACCAAGAAGAGAATCACAATAGATTGGAAAATTAAGTTACAAGAGGTAACAATTTTATATAAACAAATGCTATTATTTCCAAAGATGTTCTCTTCCAGAAGACTGCTACCTTCAGTACAACCTATGATTTCATGATTATCTAGAAACTTCTAGCAGTCTTATAATTTTCAAAATAAACATGGAATTTCTACAGGTAGCGCTATTGTAGTATATGTCTCACCTGAGATTATGCCAGAATAGACTTGGCCATCAGTGTCCTTCAGAGAAGCCTGGTGCAAGGTTGACCTCCTAGCAAAGGGATGGAGATTATCAATTCATTTGATAGATAGATAGATAGATAGATAGATAGATAGATAGATAGATGTAATTTGAGTCTCACCCCAGATCATGCCAAAATAGACTTTGCTCTCTGTGTCCTTCAGAGAAACAAATTGGAGGGTTGAACTGACAGATAACCTCCTAGTCTTTGATTAAATGTTAAGATGAATAGACAAATAGGAATAGATAGATAGATAGATAGATAGATAGATAGATAGATAGATAGATAGATAGATAGATAGATAGATAGATGTAATGTGTGGCTTGCCTCAAATCATTCCTGAATAGAATTTGCACTCAGTGTGACATCAGATGCTGGGCCAATCTTCCAAATCGAAAGAGCTTACCTCCCTTGAAAATCAGCACTTGAAATACTGGCTTTTACCTGAACTTGAATATCGTCTACAATCCCCAATTGGGAATACACTATGAAAGAGGCAGTTGGTCCCATGTAGTAAATGTTTAATAAACTTGGCTTAGTATGACACATACTTTAACAAGGAAAAATGTGAGTAGAAACATAATGCCTTTATTGTGAGGATAATTCCATTAGACGTCTTACCTCAACTATAATTTGTCATATTTTTATTTATACTTTTTATTCCAACAATCACTGAGCAAATGCATTTTGAGTGTATCACAGATAATCTGATATCTTTGCACTGAGTTATGCTACAGAGATTGTCTGTACAAGTTTTGGTAGAATTAGCCACAGGAAACACTATGATTCCAACTATTAACTGATGTTAAATGGGCAAAAATGCAACACTACTCTGCCACTGTAAAAAATGATTACAGATTTTGGCAGCCTTTTACACCAAGGGAAAGCAATCCACTATCAATAAAATTTATTTCAATTTTGATGTGCACGTGTTAAAAATGCCTTTGAACTGTAAGATCATTTTTGCCATGTGATGCTAAAATCTATTTCACAGTCATAACATGCGAACCCATTTTAAACTTTGGACTGTTAAGAACATAAATGCCATACTGACAATTTCTAGACTATCCTTTCCTTCTTTGAAAATGGCAAACAATGGTTGAGGGTGCTTGGAATGTAACACATAATTTTGGCAAATCTCTTTACGAATTTTCACCTGACATCAAGAAAGAGAAAAATCACTAAAAGGCACAACAGATATTCTCTTTTCTATTTAATAGAACATGTTTAAATGAAGGGTTGCTGCCTAAATATACTATGTTTAAAATGTGTGTGTGTGTGTGTGTGTCTGTGAAAGTGCAATTTTTATTTATTGTCTGAGAAAATTAATTTTGTGAATTCAATTTGAATTCTCAATGTTATATAGGCAAGACAAGGAATAATAACTATGATGAAAATCCTAGAAATGGTTTTTATTTCTTTTCCAAAACAACAAATAATCATAGCATGAGTACAAAGATAGTATCTGTAGATGCATTGTGATAGTTGAAGGTGCATTCTAAAAACTAAGCAGAGTATTAAGAGACACCAAAACTTCATTAGACACAAAGAACTACTGAACTGTTACATGATATCTATCCTCCTATATGGCAGTGAATACTGGATAATCTCCTCAAAGATGGGGAAGAGATTTGGGGTAGCAGAAATGTGCTTCTACAGAAGAATGCTAAGGATACCATGGACTGAACATGTGTGCAACGATGAGGTTTTGGAGAAAATTGAAACAAAAAGGATACTTATATTTAACCTCAGAAAGAGACAGTTGGAATTTCTGGGGCACATAATGAGAAGAGAGGGCTTGGAAAATCTGATACTCACAGAACAGATTAAAGGCAAGGTGGACAGAAGAAAATAGTGCATAACATACTTGATGAGCTTTACTAAATGATTGGTGGAACAGGGTTTAAGAGAAATAGCAAAAAGACAAAATTTATTAAGAGCTACAAAGGACAGGAAATTGTGGGAAGCCATAATTGCCTATGACCTGAATGGACTCGACACATAAAGAAGAACTGTACTGGTGTGAACTTTGGTAAAAAATGACTTAATTGAGTAGGGGTGATTTGAAGCCCATGTGCATGGCAATCATGACAGTGATGGATTGACTTTGTCTAAATTTTGATATGATTGAAAAACAAATGAAAACAGGCAGGACAGTTGTGGCAGTAGAGAAGTCAAGAACTTTAATACATGTCTAAGCCTTCTTCTTCAGATTACTTTGTGTACTTGTGGTTTCAACATGAAGACTTGAATGAGAATCACAGGCCAATGAAAATTTGAAGTAGAAATAACATCACACATATAGAGGAGAGAGCTATCAGTAGGCTGGCCTGCTGACATCCTCTCTTCTTCCCTCTCTCTCTCTTGCACTTCCTCCAAGAAATAATGACTGCTATGTACCACCCACCAAATAAAATGAGATTAGAAAAAACAGGGAAATTGTCTGTCATAAATTTGATTAGTTGACGTAGTACTGAATCCCTACTGAGGAATTCTAGATAGACAACTACAATCCAGAGATGATATGCAACACAACACCAAATAGAGATTATTGCCCTTGAAAAAGGCATGAATCCATAACTTCCTACACTGTCATGTCACTCAGCCTCTTGAACTAGGGAAAGTACATAGACAATCACCTCTCTCAGAATTATTTTACTTGCTCAAGATGTGGCAACAAAAATGATTGCTACACCCATTGCCAGCCTTGACAAATTGTGGCCAGTACTTTTCATGCATACTCACACACACATATATATATATATATATATATATATATATATATATATATATATATCAACAGACACAACCACATCCTTGTATTGAAGTTTGCTTCAATCAAGTTAAAAATAATATTAAGCTCAATCTCCGGGTGCCTTCTGTCCAGGCAGTACATTTCCTTTAGGAGGGGGCTGGCTTTATTGCTCAAAAGGGGATGTGCCAAGGGCACTTGAGCAATTTTTCCATGGTATTGCCGTTAAACTTACTTTAAACTGATCTTGTGTCATATTTGGTTCTTCCACACACATATATAGAACACTTAATATAGTAGAATGGTTAGTTTATTTCAGAGACCAGTTTACTTGACCATTTATGTATTATGACCCTTCAGAACGTAGGCAATCGTGGGTCTCCACAGCTTCCTTGACCTTATAGCTCTAAATAATGTTTAACTCTTTACCATCCCTCCTCTGTCTTTGCTCTGCTATCCATTCATGCAAAGTTGTAATTTGTTCACTGTTTCTGTCTACTCCTCCTTCCTGTAATATGTCTTGTGAGTATTAAGTTTTCCAAGCCCTCTTTCCTCATAATAAGTCCCAGAAGTTTTAACTGTCTCTTTCTGATTTTAAGCATGAGTGTCTTTCTAGTTTCAGTTTTCTTTAGAACTTCCTCATTCTTCATATGTTCTGTCCATGGCATTGTCAGTGTTCCTCTGTAGAACCATCATTTCTGTTGCTTTGAGTTTTTCATCTAAAAGAAAATTGTCCAGCATTCACTGCGCTACAGGAGGATAGATAAGATATATCAGTTCAGTACTTTTTCTTTGTTTTTAATTAAATTTTCCTGTCTTAATACTTCACTTAGTTTCTAGAAAGCACCTTTCATTATTCCAATTCACCTTCAGACCTCTCTATCACACTTACTGTCATTTGTTACTACACTACCAAGATAGTTTAAATTTCTGTTTCTACTTGATTCTAATGTCTCCAATTTAAAGCTCACACCTTTGGTTGTCTTTCTTGCTGACAATCATACATTCTGACTTCGTGCTTTTGTTTGCTACCTTACTAGTGAGAACAGTTTTCACTCTGTGCCTCAATTCTGTGTTGCTGTGCCAGACAAGGATAAACAATGCCTAGAAAAGTTTACTATTTTTGACTTTGCCTAAAATTTATATCTTATGATATTTGAAAAAAAATGATTATTTGTGCTTTGTCTGAATCATTTTTAAAGGGAAATAGTTTTATTTCAGATGTCAAAATATTGGCTTAACAATGGACAAAAAAGAAATAACTAATGTGTAAACACAAAAATTTATTTTTAACATAAACAGATAAAACTTTATCCCATAATATTTGCTACATTTGTAGATATATTAACCTGTTCCTTTAGTTATCGGTGGAGCTTGTGTGGGGAGAGTGGATAAAATTAAGTGACTGGGTATGTGCATTGCAGTGACAAAAAGTCTAAATAAATAAATATATTCTGTACATTAAATGTAAGAATTATAATGGACATAGATAATATTTTTAACTTGTGATCATTAATATCATAAATTAAATACTCCACTTTGAAACCTTTAACAATTGTGTGTATCTATATATATATATATATATGTATATTGTGTGTGTGTGTATATATACATATATATATATACATACATACGCCAGAGTAAACAAACAGTAAAATATTTGTTAAGATCGTACACATTAAAAGTGCTCAATATCAAGTTGGAAGACCAGACTTGCAGAGCTGTTTAATGTTTGAAAAAAAAATGAGCTCCATGTTGTTGATTTGCTGAACAAACCACCTGAGGATACCATAGTGGTTGAAACCCCGGTAGTGTTTTGGTCAGCATTCATTTTTTTTTTAAATATTAAATATATTTAACTGGTTATATATATATATATATATATATATATATATAGCCAAGTAAACAAACACTAAAAAGGGCTATTTAAAAACGTGTGTAATAAAAAAGTGCTCAATAACAAGGCAGAAACACTAACCTGTAGAGCTATTAATAAGGTGTGATTAATGCATTAACCACCTGAAAAGACCTTGGTGGTCAAAACTGTGATTGTGTTTCTATCCAGCTTCTAAAGATTTTATTATCTATGCATTTATACATTATATATATATATATATATATATATATATATGTCTATCTCTAGACATATAAATTTCTTTCTCTTTCTTTCTTTTTCTCTTCCCCAATATTAAAACTTTATTTTAAAACACATCTTATGTTTGAAAATTCCTTTTTTCACTTGTGCTTGGATGAATTTTAAATCCATTTATTTGTGAAACTGTTTGGTCTGATGAGACAAGATCAATTATTCAGTCTTGTGAAATAAAATATTACTGTGGGTTTCTAAAGTCTCCACTTTCATCATTATCATTTGCTCAGTTTTTACATTGACCTCTCTTTAGATTTGTATCCTCTTTGGAATTATCCATACAAATTATCAAACAATATTATTATTATTACTGATATTATATATTTGTAAAGAACGGAATAGATTTTTTATTTATTAACCCAACAGATTTTTATTACTTAAATGTTATTTTTAGTGGATACCCATATTTGAGTAGATGTTCTATTTATTAACAAAGGTATTTATTAACGTCAGATCTAATGACAGTCTTCTCTAGGGGAATGCAAATTCAGATCCTGCTGCAGAATGCATATTTTTCTCTAATAAGATTTCTCAAATATTCAAGTCAATAGATGAAAATAAATATGTCTAATAAATAAATGGAGTATCTACTCAAATACAAATATCCAC